GAGGAGCAACCCGAAGTGGAGGCAGTTGTTGAGAATCTGTCCAAGGAGCAACCCGAGGTGATCGAGACTTCACCTGACCAAGTCACAGAAATGGAGACAGCTGCTGTGGATCCTGTTCAAAAAAAGAAACCTGTTCGAGGGCGAAGAGCAAAAACTGTGGAACCTGAGACAGCAGAAGATAAACAAGAGGCAGCAGAACATTGTGAGGAGCCTGTTGCCCCAGCTCCAGTCAGAGGAAGAAGAGGGAAGAAGACTGAAACCACAGCTCCATCTACTGTTCGACAGAAGACAAGAAACACAAAAACCACTGATGCTGATCTCACAGTGGAAGAAAGTGCCCCTCAACCTCCGAAAGATGTCCCCAAGACTAGAAGAGGAAGAAACGCCACAAAGGCTTCTGATGATCAAGTTACAAGTGCAAATGAGCTCTGCGCTGACCAGCTAGAAGGGGTGTCTAATGGAAATGATGAAAATAAATCATCTGTCGAGGAGACTGTTCCCCTGGCACCTGTAATTGAGAGTTTACCTGAGGTGGACACAGAAACAGACACAGCTATCAGTCAGAAGAAATCTGTTCGAGGCCGTAGAGCAAAAATTGTGGAATCTAAAACAACTGAAGACAAACTTGAGGCAAAGGAGGATACTGTGGTTTCTGCTCCAGTCAGAGGAAGAAGAGGGAAGAAAACTGAAGCCACTGCAACACCTGCTGTCCGACAGACGACAAGAACCAGAAATGCCAAGTCTCAAGGAAACGCCTCTGATGATAAACTTGAAGTTGCCCCAGAGAAATCACTGGAAATGCAACCAGTGGCTGAGATTCCCTCTGAAGCTGTGAGTGACCAGACTTCTCTGATCAACACCAGCCAAGAAGAAAATGATACTGCTCCCCCTGCAGAGGAAGCTGTAGTAAAGCCTGTTCGAGGGAGAAAAACAAAACAAACGCCTCAACCAGAGCCAGAGAAAACTGAAGTGAGTGAAGGGCCTCTCATGACAGAACCTCAACAGCTCATTCCCACTGTTGTGAAACCCAGAAGAGGCAGAAAGATCAAATCTGACACCACTGAACAAACTGGGACTTCAGAAGATACAGCGATTACGGTAGAGCCCAAGCAGGAGTCTCAGCCTCCAGTCAGGGCTAAGAGGGGAAGAAACGCCAAACAGGGGGAAGAAAAGCAAGAGAATGATGTCCAGACTATTTCAGCTGCAACCTCTGATGTCCAAGAGCCAGTTAAAAAATCAAGAAGAACCAGGAAAACTGAGGAAGAACATGTAAAACCAATGGAAGAAGAAGAAATCCAAGCTGATGAAGCGGTCGTCCCAGAGGAGGCTGAAGCTTTGCCTGTTGCTGAACCACTGGAGAAAAATGAGCAGGTTCCTGTGACCGCAAAACCCAAGAGAGGAGGACGAAAAGCCAAACTAACTGCTGAAAGTGAAACACCTGTTGAGTCCACTGAGGTTGAAGAAGTGCCTGTTGTCAAACCCAAACGAGGCAGGAGAGGAAAAGAAGCTACTGAAGAGGCTGAAGTACCAGAGGCAAAATCTGACCAGGAGCTGGAGGAGAAAACTGCTGAGCCAGACGCTCCAGTCGTCAAACCTACAAGGGCAAGAGCTGTGAAAAATCAAGTCTCACAAGTCATTCCAGCCAAAAGAGCACGTCGAGGTGCTGCACCTCTCACTGAGGACACAAACACAGAATCCACCACCCTGGATTTGTCTGTACCAGCTGCAGAGCCAGCTAAGAGGGGGAGGCGGGCTGCAGCAAAGCCCACAACAGATGAATTGACGGTTATCATTGACCAGGTGACTACCTCAGAAGACTTAAGCAGTGCTGTTACAGAAGACGTCAAAGTGTCCAAAAGATCCGTGAAGTGGAAAGCAGACTTGGAAGTCACCCAGATTCCAAAAGCAACACCCGTAAAAGCTGTCCGAGGAAGGAAGACAAAACTTGATGCTGAGAGCAAAAACATGTCGAACGATGCCGACAAAACTGAAGAGAAGGATCTCTCAGAGGAAGTTATTGAAGCTCAGCCAGTCAAGAGAGCCAGACGAGGAGCAAAGGTCGCTGAAGAAACGGTGGATCCCAAGAAAGATGCTGAAGCTGAGACACAACCAAAAACCCGCAGAGGAAGATCAGCAAAGAAATAAAGGCATTTGTATATATTTCTAGTCAAAAAGACCGATTTTTGTCTTTATATATGTTTTGTATTTGATGTTTTAGATCGTTTGGCATTTTTAGAAACTAGTTTTATCGACAGGAAATTGAGCACTAGATTATTTTTTTCCTCTTAAAGTCTGCAGGGAATCTTGTCTTAATCATTTATACAAGTTGTATGCTATTCATTGCCGATCTTGCAACTATTTTAACAGTGGGAAAAATGTCATTAAATTTTTTTGTATGATTCAAAAGCTGGTGTGGATTTGTCTTTTTTAACATTCTTTTATCTGAACATTTAAAACCTGGTCCTCATTTTTAAAAAGATTCACAAAGGTATCAAAAAGATGTCAACACCTAAATATGAAGCACATTGTAGATTCTCTTTCAGTTTGCATTCATTTTCATGTTTTGTCAGTTTCCAAAGGTGAAAACTATTAATACAGGTGTGATTTGTTTTATATGCAGATGCAAAAAGAAAAATAATTTTATTCCAGCCATTTGTTTATAGTTTCTATGGGATCAGGTATGAAAGTCATTTGTTGAATGGATTAAAAGACTGATTTTAATGAACAATGAGCCATAAGCAAAGAATAGTTGGCTGCTACCTATTATAATGTGGAACAAACAGTCGATTTTATATTAATGTCTATATTTTATAAGCGCATCATTTATTTAAACGTATTTAAGTGAGTACAGTTTAACAGGAGGCATTTAAGCCATTATAACAAACAGGAACTGTGTGGTAGAACAGCAGTACTACCCGGACCCATTTAGAGGACGGACCGGGAACAAACGCAGGGTTGTCGCTGGAGGGAGATTTAAGCAGCGCGTGCAGGACGCTTGGCCAATTTCTCAAACTTCAGCCAGATCAGAAGTGGCTCCATCTTCTCACGTTGTCGTTTTCTATTGATACTCGTCATCATGGAATCGAACAGTGACATTAAAACGACACCGAAAGGCTTCAACTGCCTCCTGTGCAACGTCAACTTACCAAACTGTAAGTCCCGAAGCTAACTCACAAACTGAGGACACTTTGGACGTAACTCTGTCCAGGCAGGAGGCGAATTAGCTTAAAGCTACGGAGAAACTGCGCTATTCAATTACTGTACACATTCTTCTTCTCTTTACACGGTATTAGTTTTTATTCCATATCTCCTTACATTGAGTATTATTATCCTTACACTTGAGTATTCTGTGTTACTTATTATTACTTACAGATGCATATGCAGATGTACACAGTACTTTGCACAACCCCCCCCCCAGTACACACATACACTCACGTATACATAGACAGGAAGGGCTTAATAGAGCACTATAAGGAAACATATATAGGTTGTTAAACAGGTGAATAGTTGTTTATAAACGTGACTATATATATAAAGTATATATGTAATGTATATACCTACCAGTGTACTTAGTGTACTTCATGTTTAACCTCTGCCTCCTTGTGATATGTTGAGTTTTCTTTCTGCTCGTGTTGTCACGTCCTGCAGTGTCCAGTCTGGACCAGCACGTGAAGGGGAGGAAACACCAGACGCTGAGCTCGGTGCGGGACACCAGGAAGAGCCAGGACGAGCACAGCGTGTTCGTCAGCGGCATCAAACCTCACATCTCTCAGACTGACATCACCGAGCACTTCCAGCAGTTCGGTCCGGTGGCAGATGTCGTCATGGACAAAGATAAGGTCAGGCTGCTGTGACACAGTGAGCTCATTGAGGAGAGCGAGGACCTCCACCAAGACCCGGCAGTCCCCTTATGGAACCTCATTTAAATTCACCGGATCTGGATTTTTATTTGGATTTGCACCAAATTGCACACGCTCACAAATATCAGTTCTGTAAACATGCCTGCTTCTCAACATAAATGTATCACAATGTTAAAGAACGTGAAAAACACAATCCTGATCCACAGCTACACCAAATTTGAATTCTTTGAAAACATAACTTCCTTGGCGGAGTTAATGACAGCACTGACGCTCTGCTTCCTCGCAGCGTGTGGAAGCTGAGTGATGAGAACCTCAGTGTTGTCTGACGGTGTCGCTCTGCACTCACAGGGGGTGTTCGCCATCGTGCAGTTCAGCGAGACGGAGAGCATACGGGCGGCCCTCTCCTGCGTCGAGCATCAGATGAAGGGCCTGAAACTGCGAGTCAAACCCCGCGAGAAGAAGGAGTTCAAGTTGATTCCCAAGAAAAGGGGCGACGCAGAGAAAATGCAGGAAGTTCTGGACCGTCTCAAACCTCACCTGTGTCAGATGGTGTCTGTAAGTTTCCTGCTGTCAAGTATGAAGTGTGGCTGCGGGTGATGAATGTGTGGGTTTGTAGAAATAGTGATTTCTCTTTATGAAGTGGAGCTTTTTAGATTGTTGTCAGTTCCACACTACGTTCAGTATATATGATGTTAACCGTAGTTAATTTATTTTTACTTGATCGTACGTAACTATCTCATTGCAATGTTTTTATCACCATTTATTTAAAATAGATATTGCAATTATAAATACAAAAATAAATGAATTCAATATTTCTATTATTCAAGCACTTTTAATTAGTAAACGTCACATATTTTAGTTTAGTTGTTTGAGTAATAATGTAATCATGCAACAGAGGGTTAATGTAGATAAATGGTGCTAAATATCAATCGTGCTTGTTAGATTGCTGTATATTTGGACTTATTATAGCATGTTTGTATATTATCCAGGTGGTTTGTTAAATGTTTCTGGTTTTGTTTTTTTCCCTTCAGGTGGATGCACAGATGCAGTGCATTGTCGATCGGTTTCAACTGGGAGAGAATGAAAAAAAGGCCAGAGGCCTCCTGGTTCAACTCCTGCAAGAGGTTTTTGTTGAATTCTTTCCAGGTGATGTTTGCAAGCATAAAACAATGAGTCAGTTTCTATCTTTCATAGTGATAATTGTGCAAATGATTGTCATGGATTGGTTTTCTCACTTAAAACCTTTTTTGCTGGGTTGCAGACAGCCAGATTCTGCCATTTGGTTCATCCGTCAACACTTTTGGAATCCACTCCTGTGACTTGGACCTCTTCCTGGACCTGGAAAACACTAAAGTGTTCCAGGCTCGTGCTAAATCCACCACAGAACAGGTCCGATGCTATAATGTACAGCAAATTGAAACATATATTATATGATTTAACTTCATTTCAACCATCCTTCTTTTATTCTCCCTCTTTCTTCAGGCAGGAGAGGGCATGTCCGATGACGGCCGTTCTGAGGATTCCATCCTGTCCGATATCGACTTGACCTCCGCGTCTCCGGCAGAGGTCCTGGACCTCGTGGCGGCGATCCTGAAGCGCTGCGTCCCCAGCGTACACAAAGTCAATGTTGTCAGCAGCGCTCGTCTCCCTGTGGTCAAGTTCCATCACCGGGAGCTCAACCTGCAGGGGGACATCACCATCAACAACAGGTCAGTCGACAGTTTCTCTCGACCGCGGAGAGTCTTTAAAAGTAGCGATAAAATGTTTTATCTTGAAAACTGTGCAGACTGACTGTATGTCTTTCTTCAATCTGTATCTTTCACTAGACTGGCTGTAAGGAACACCCGCTTCCTCCAGCTGTGTTCAGGGATGGACGAGAGGCTGAGACCTCTGGTTTACACCATCCGCTACTGGGCCAAGCAGAGACAGCTGGCTGGTAAAAAGAAATGACTCAGCACATTTTGTGTCACTACAGGACAAGTCGGTTTTTAGTATAAAAAAAAACCAGATGCACTTTCTTTCCAAAAAAATGGATGTACTTAGGTGGTTATTTCACATTTTGGCCAGTAGATGTCACAATAACTTGTCCGTTGCGATCGCGGTAACAGCTGAGACACTGATTTGCAATAGCTTTCTGTACTTAAGTGTTTTAATGAGTGTTCTTCACCGTAAATTACATTTACTCCTGGGAGGTTTTTCCTCTGTTCCTGTGATGAGCAGCAGCTGGTTCAGCTCTCAACAAGCCTCCTGTGCAGAGTGATCGGCGATAATCAAATATTCATAGAAATACAATGAAAGCAAACACATAAATAACCTTGAACTACACACATACACACATTAATTATGTACTCTAACAGTTAATTAAGATATCAGTGTTCTCCCATTATGAAACATAAATAATAATAAACCCAGGATTAATAACTAAAGGAGGAAAAAACGACATTAAAACCTAAAGTGATTGGGTCATTTGTGGCAGATCTATGATCAGTTTGCAACATTACTGATATTTTACACACACAATGAATAACTAAGCTGGTTCCAAATAGCACTGTGCCATTTCGTGATTATAGGAAATCAAACCCAAGATATTATGTATTTAGAGTTTTAGGATTTTAAATGGTAGAAAGAACTAGACTATTGTACAAATGCAGTAATTATCTGAGAGCTGGCGACACTTTGTTTTAGCGTTATCTCTTTGGTATCAAGAAATCCAAACTCTGCTATAAAGCCCGCAACAGATGTTCAACTCTTCATCCTGTATATACACTCTTCATGTCCTCATACTTCTGGTCTCATCCTGCCACACACACATTCTCCGTTGTGTGTAGGTAACCCCAGTGGTGCTGGTCCTCTTCTCAACAACTACGCTCTGACGATGTTGATCATCTTCTTCCTGCAAAACTCTGAGCCTCCTGTCCTCCACACAGTGGAGCAACTTAAAGACATGGCCTGTGAGTACAACATTACTGTTCCCTGACAAGATAGATTTACTATTATCACTCTTAACTTTGCTGGGGCTTTATTTATCTGTGAGAGATCTGCAGAGGGTTTAAAGTAGATTTCTGTAGCAGAGTTCTCACTGTTTAACATAAGGTCCTTTTAGGTTTCATAGGATTTTCAGAGTCAAATCTTTGGTCCTGCGCAATAAAACTGATTTATGGAGTTAACATGTATACTTTGCTGCATGCAGATGAGATGATATCCATTTACTTCTGCTTGTTAACCTCATTCATTTGTTCACGTCCTCACAGGTGAAGAGGAAGAATGTGTGATCGAGGGCTGGAACTGCACCTTCCCCAGTCAGCCCATTTCTGTGCCGCCCAGCAAGAATACACAGAACCTCTGTAAGTAATAGAAATTCAAAAAGCAAAGACATTTATGTGATTCATTGATTCCCTGTGACACATTAAACAAACATGAATTTAAAGGACAGTTTCATCTAACCTGTGTGTTCTCTCTTTCAGGCACCCTGCTCTCCGACTTCTTCTCCTTCTATGCCAAGTTTGATTTTGCCAGTAGTGTCATATCTGTCAGGGAGGGTCGTGT